GTCTCCTTGGCTTCCTTGATCAAGAGGCCAGATAACCGACCACCATTACAGGACATTTTGCACGATGCTCATAGTCCCTGGGAACTGATCGACCCAGGAGGGCAAGGAGCAAAAAGTGTCCTTTGAATCCCTCTGACCCAATTAGTATAGATCTCTTAAACTCCAAGTAACTTGTGTTAAACTGCAACTTGCTTGTTCACTGAGTATAATCTCTTTGAAATACATCCATTTTAAAAAACACAGGTCTAACTTACTCATTTAAAGTGCTGGTAGTCTATTATATGAATAAAGTACAGTTAGTTTGTTCCCTATCTGTGCATTGCTGGTGCTGACGTGTTCCAAACATAGTTGCTGTGTACATCCTGGTGCAGGTCTCTGTGTATTTTGTTCCCTCACTGCATTCCACTGTCATTCCATTGTTTGTACTGACTGTTAAACACATGGCCACCGTGGACATCCTGGTGCAAGTCTCTGTGTATTTTGTTCCCTTACTATGTTCCATTGTTTCTGCTGACATGTTACACATACAGCTTCTTGTGTGTGTGTGGAGAGTTTTTGTTAGGTATAAAATGGTATCTTGTTTTATTTACTTAATTTTTGTTTGATTGCTTGTTTGATTATTTCTGTGGTACTGAGAATTGAACTTCGCATTGCCCGTGATAGGCAAGTACTTTGCCACTGAGCTACATCTCCAGCCCTCTTTTTACATTTTATTTTGAGACAGTATCTTACTAGGATAGCTTTGAATTCACTCTGTAGTCAAGGCAAGTCTTGAACTTGCCATCCTCCTGGTTTATCCTCTTCAAGAGTGAGAATTACAGGTCTGCGCCACCAGGCCTGGCAGCATCTAGTTTTAATTTCATTTACTGGGACCGGAGAGATGGCTTAGTGGTTAAGAGCACTGACTGCTCTTGCAGAGGACCTAGGTTCAAATCCCAGCACCCACATGTCAGCTAACAACTGTCTGTAACTTTAGTTCGAGGGGTATTTGACACCCTTTTCTGACCTCTGTGGGCATTGCATGACACGGGTGCACATACATGCAGGCAGTACACTCAATGCACATAAAATTAAATAAATTTTAAAAAATTGAAATTTTCATTTCCTGTATTATAGTACTGTAAGAATTATAGGCTGTAAGAATTTTGTATTTTTTTTATAATTTCATAAGATTTCTGTGGTTTCTAATTTCCTATTAGGTAATTGGTTGGTAATTTCCTATTTGTATTCTTTGCCAATTTTTTTTAACTTTTAAAAAATTTTATTATTTTTATTTTATGTGTATGCGTGTATTGCCTGCATGTAGGTAAGTGCACCTGTGTTGTCCAAGCTTTGCCAATTTTTAAAAAGTTGAGTTGTGTCTTTTTAAGTATTAAGTAGGTTTTTAAAAATATTCTGGATGGGCTGGTGAGATATCTTAGTCAAGGACAAGAGTTCTATTACCAGAACCCACATAAAAAATCTGGGTGTTGTGGCATGCACTTGTAATCCCAGCACTTGGGAGGTAGAGATGGATAGATCCCTGGGGCTCTCTGCCCAGCCTAGTTGGCTAACTCTAGGCCAGTGAGAGACCATGTCTCAAAAAGCAAGGTGGATGACTCTTGAGAAGCAACACCTGAGGCTGACTTCTGGTCTTGCTAACATATGCACACATGTGCTTATATCCCCCAACACATGTATTTCCATATACAGAAACACGTATTAGTCCTTTGTTCACTATATTCATAAATAACTTCTTTCTAACTGTGGCTAGGGGCTATATGCAGCTTAATGGTAGAAGCACATCCTTAGCATGTGCAAGCCACAAGGTTTGGGCATCAGCACTGTGCATATATACACAAACCACAAAGTGAAAAAGACATGCTGTATTTTGTTTTGCAGTGCTGGAGATCAAATCCAGGGCAAGCACTCTACTGTTGAGCTACATCCTAGCCTTACATGTAGTCTTGATGGATACACACATAAAATTAACTTTTTTTTAAAGAGCAATTTATCTATGCCTTCCAAAAATATATAAACAGGGCTGGGAGTTTAGCTCAGAGGTAAGACCCTTACGTAGCCAGCACAAAGCCCTATGTTCAATCCCCAGCACCTCAGAAAGAAAGAAACCACAAATTTGACCCAAGTAATCTACCACTAGGAATTAATGACATGAATATGTTTGCAAAAAACATACTAATGTATTTTTCTGTAAGCAAGGGTACTGTGCATTGTTAGAAGCTAAAACAAAGGAAACGGCCAAAAAATTAGCCAAGACAAAGCTGTACAAAAAACACTGTGCACCTGCTTTACAATTTGAGACTGTCTTCATGTTCCAGTGTGGATACACTTTCCAGATACTTCAGAAGTGAAGTGGGGTTGGAGTACACAACACCTGACCTCATTTGTGAAGATCTACACATGTATAGGTGAACATGTAGGTGGAGAACACTGCATTTATAGTTCAGGAAGTAGGGCAGCTGAGGGTCAATACTAAGAGATTTCAACTTCATGTTTTGCTTCTTTTATGAAGACAGACTCAAAGTTACATCGTTTAATATAAATTACTCATGGGGTTGCTAGGAATTGGTATTTACTGTAGTATAGCATGAAATTCCCTTCATTTTTGGTTTTCCCACAGATAAAGAAAGGCATTGATAAAAATTAGTGTAAAGCTTTATGAAAGTCAGTCAGTGACAGGGTGCATCTCAATGGTAGAGCACATACATGCTTAACATGTGCAAATCCCCAAGTTTCATCCCCAGCATCACACACACACATACATAAATACGCATTCACACATACACAAATACACATACATGCATACACGCAGATACACATATAATATGTATGTTCAGACACGTGTGCACACATGTGCACACATACACATATACAGACATACACATATACACACATATGTACATATACACACATGGTAAAGCAAAGCCAAGAATGAAAGCTCAGATTTGTACAGCATTTCAGAAATTTCCAGAAGACTTGTATCTGTATTTGGTATGGTTACCTTGAAAAATGGCTAAACTGAGATATTGAAGATAGAATTTATGGGTAGTATGTTCTTTTTGTCTCAGATTTACATCAGAATCAAATGACCTGTTTTCTGTGCTACTTTTCAGTCCCTAGGGATGATGAAGTTTACACATTCACCAGCCCTGAATCTGCAGTGCTGCCATAGTGAGCAGCTCCGTTTGCTCACCTTTATTATAAACACAGAGCTGTCTGTTCCTTCATTTTTCTTAAGAGAACCAAATGCTTACCTCAGCTATGCCACATACCACGTTACGTGTCCTGTGCTTTTATGGTTTTTTCTTTTGTTTTGGGTTTTGAGGCAAGATCTAGATTAAATAAGTCTGGCTGACCTGGAACTCATTATGTAGACTAGACTGGCCTTGAACTTGTGGTGATCCTCCTGCCTCTGCCTTTGGAATGCCACTGTGCCCAGTTATGCTTTTTTTGTGAAAATCATCCTGTTTTAATTCTTGTGTGAATGCAAAATTGCTACTATTGATTATTTTATTTCTTGTTTTTTCCAGGTTCTGAAGAAGATGATGAAGTTGTGGCAATGATTAAGGAATTATTAGATACTAGAATACGGTATGTGCTCCCTCCCCTTTGCAGTGCTGCAGAGGCAGTGTTCATGACACTCATGTGTTCTCCCCATAAGGCACTACTTATCTTTAGGTATGTAGGGGGAGAGGCTAAGTCAGACAAAAAGAGAAAAAAAGTTGGAAAACTGAGCAGACTTTTGGCGGTTTTATAGTGCTGGAGTAGGGGAAAAGATTTGATTCTCTGGCAAGAAGAGTGGGCCTCAGGAAACATTCAGGCTCTTAGCTGAGCTTCTTGGAGAATTGTGCCATTAAAATGGGGCAATGTGGAGGTAGACCAAGCTTACAAAACTGCAGCCCCATATTCAGTTAATTCAAGAGTAGAGTAGGCTGTTAGAAGAGAGGCAGAACGCTTTCTTATACGATGAAATGCTGAGTCATTTGAGCTTCTCACATAGTACCCAGCGTTCAGTCAAAAATTATTAGGCTCACCTGAAAACTGAACAAAGAGAAACTGAAAGAAATCTTCAGATTCCTGATATAGCTAATGCTTAAGATAGCTCATTAAAATGTGCAAGAAAATTTAAAAGAAGGCAGCCATGGTGGTGCATGCCTTTAATCTCAGCACTTGGAAGGCAGAGGCAGGTGGATCTCTGTGAGACTGAGGCCAGCTTGGCTTCATAGCGAGTTCCAGGCCAGCTGGGACTACAGGGAGACCCTGTTTCAAAAAGACCAAAAAGAAAGAAAATTTAAAAGAAAAGGGATGGGGGATAGAGAGATGGCTCAGTGGTTAAGAGCACCACTGGCTGCTCTTGCAGAGAACCTGGGTATGGTTCCCAGCAGCCACATGGTGGCTAACAACCATCCACAACTTACCCTCTTCTGGCTTCTGTGGGCATTGCTTGCATGGGTGTACTTATGTGCATACAGTCAAAACACTTATTCACATGAAATAAAAATAAATAAAATTGTTTTAGATATGCAAGAAAATAAATAAAAGACAAGGAACTTCATGAGAGAACTGGAATCTACAAGAAAAGAATTAACACTTCTAGAACTGAAAGTTTAACCAAACTTTAGAACTCACTAGATTATTTTCATATGAGGTCAGATGCTGCTGAAGGGTAGATTAGTGTGTTGGAATACAGATCAGGAGGAAATACCCAGGTTGAAGCTCATAGGGAACAGAAATTCAGGGGAAAAGCACAAGACATAGTGTTTACAGAAAAGGTCTTTCAGTGTCCTGCAGAGTTTAAATTTATCTAGAATTAGGATAAGTGACCCATTGCCAAGCCAGGGGAGGTGACACACACCTTTAATCCCAGTGCTCTGGATGCAGAAGCAGGTGGATCTCTACATAGTGTGTTCCAGCTCAGTGAGGGCTACAGGAAGACCCTCTCTCAAAAACAAAACAAAAGATAAGGGACCTAAATGTAGAAGTAGGGCTGGGTGTGGTGGCGCACGCCTTTAATCCCAGCACTTGGGAGGCAGAAGCAGGCAGATCTCTGTGAGTTCAAGGCCAGCCTGGTCCACATAGTGAGTTCTAGGACAGCTGGGGCTACAGGGAGACCCTGTCTCAAAAGACCAAAAAAAAAAAAAAAAAAAAAGAAGTAGGTATAAACAGAAGTGTTCTGAGTCTTGGCATTATTTGAAAAGTGGTAGAAGTAATAATTCACCGTAGAACCAAGAAACCAAGTAGGTGTCTTGGAGGGTAGCTAGCAAGTGGTAATGGGTTGTATAACAAGCAGTTGTGTGGAAGGATGAAAAAGTAGTAAGAACACTTGATCATGCAAAACAGTGCAGCTAGGAAACAAATGGCAAGATGAAACATGACCCTGAGGATCTTGGCAGGTGCACTTAAATGTATTTCAATTGGCCAACAAAAAATAAGATTGTTAAGATATGAAAAAGCCAATTACATGCTTTTTATGAGATTCTATCTTAAATAAAAGGACCCAAAAATACTGGAAATAAGCTGGAGAAATGTATAGCCTTCCAAAAATGATTATGAGAAAACTGCAATTACACATAGGAGCATATGCTCATATAAAACTTAGATGCTCCTGATAATACAGATGCAAAACAAATGAATATCTGACCAAACTAAAAGGAGACATAGATAGTTCATAATTATGGTGGGAGACTAACACCTTTCTCTAATACAACAAGCACAAAAAGTCATCAGTGAAGATAGCTTTGAACACATGATTAACAAATGACCAAATTGTTGATATATGGACAATGTTGTACTCAAGAATAAAATAGTTGCTTTTTTCGAGTGTAGAGGGATGCATACTGCAGCAGCCTGTGTGCTTGGTCATAAAGCATTGCCTATTTACCTTCAGGGTTAGAGTCATTGAGAAGATAGGGTTTCATTGTTTGGTGCTGGGGATTGAACCCAGGGCCTTGGCCATGCTGAGCATGAGCTCTACCACTGAACTTCCCCATCTTGAGAATCTTGTTTTCCGACTCTGGTGAAGATGGGGAGCTCACCTATTCTCAGGGAATGTATGGGTAAGTAATGCTGGAAAAAAGTGTTTGCTATTTACCAATTCCAAATATAATCACACCTTTTGTTTTGATTTTTGAGACAAGTTCACTCTGTAATCTAAGCAGACCTGGAACTCAGTATGTAGTTCAAGCTAGCCTTGAACCCATGGTAATTCTATTTCAATCTCTAAGGGCTAGGATTACAAATGTGAGACACTACTCCTGGTTTGTACTCAGACTTCTTTTTTTTTTTGGTCTTTTTGAGATAGGCTCTCCCTGTAGCCCCAGCTGGCCTGGAATTCCCTAGGTAGACCACACTGGCCTGGAACTCACAGAGATCTGCCTGCCTTTGCCTCCCAAGTGCTGGGATATATTCAGGCTCTTGATCCAGCAGTTTTTGCCCTCAAGCATATGTCCTGTTGTAATACATGTACACACCAGAAGGCATACTGGAATCTCCATAGCTATGATGGAAAGCCAAATACCATCAACAGCAAGATGGATAATCAACTCTGCCATATTAGTGTCATGGAAAACTTTGCAGCAGTGAAATGGACAAGTTCTTGCAATACTAAGCATGGATGGGCATACAGAAAGAATAAGAAGCCAGATACATACAAGTGGTTTTAAAATAGAATTCAGGGCTAACAAGATGGCTCAGTGGGTAAGGGCTTGCTGCCAAGCCTGGTGATCTGAGTTTGATCTCCAGAAACCCTATGGTAGAAGGAGAGAACCGACTCCCACAAATTGTCTTCTGACCTTTATGCATGTGCTGTGGCATGTATGTGCATACACACACACATGCACACAAAATAAATAGATTAAAATGTAAAAGTAAAAAATTTTAATCTTATTGGGCTGAGGAGATAGCTAAGTCTCTAAAGTGCTTGTCCTGCTTGACCTGTGTTCAGTCCCCAGAACCCACATTAAAAAAAGCTGGGCAGGGTGGTGGGCATTTGTAATCCCAGCACTGGGAGGCAGAGACAGGTGGATCTCGGGCTCACTAACCAGTTAGCCTAGTTTAATAAATGGGCTCCTGGTTCACTGAGCAAACTCATCTAAAAAACAAGGCAAGCCGGGCATGGTGGCGCACACCTGTAGTCCCAGCACTTGAGAGGCAGAGGCAGGCGGATCTCTGTGAGTTCAAGGCCAGCCTGGTCTACATAGTTCCAGGACAGCTGGGGCTACAGGTAGACCCTGCTTCAAAATGACCAAAAAAAAAAAAAAAAAGGTAGATGGTACCTGAGGAATATCACCTGAGATTGACCTCTGACCTCCACATGTACACATACACATGCACCTCCTCATGCACCCCTCCCCTCACGAACCACACACACAACATGCACAAAACACATCTAAGCAATGAACTGCCTTAAATCTTTTCAGTGACGCCATCTGTTATTTAAATGTGTCTTGAATATCCTGTGACTGCAGGCCGACTGTGCAGGAGGATGGAGGCGATGTGATCTACAGAGGCTTTGAAGATGGCATTGTACGGCTGAAGCTCCAGGGCTCCTGCACCAGCTGCCCCAGCTCCATCATCACCCTAAAGAGTGGGATTCAGAATATGCTGCAGTTCTATATTCCGGAAGTAGAAGGTGTAGAGCAGGTAGGCCAGTATCATGACAGTTGGGATTTAATAGTAAGGCAAACAGGAAGTGAAGTTTATGACCTGACTGTTTCAGCAAGGGGCCAAGATCTTTATGCTTGAGAAACCTGTAAAAACTCCTTAGATAATTCTGTTCTGATTACAGAAAAGTTTTGAAGGTGATTCAAGTAACATGCAGTTATAGAGGAATTTAATAGTAGAAGAAACCACATAATTTATCTACTTTTGATTCCTCCCTTCTCCATTTTTTCCTTTTTAAAAAATTTTATTTTTTATGTTTATGTGTATGAGTGTATTGCCTGCATATGTGTAAGTGCACTCATGTCATGCAGTGCCCGAGGAGGTCAGAAGAAGGTGTCGGATTTCCTGGAACTGGAGTTAGGACAGTTGTTAGCCACCATGTGGGTGCTGGGAATTGAACCCAGGTCCTCTGCAAGAGTTGTCAGTCTTAAACATTGAGCCAACTCTCCAGCTCATTTTATTTTCTTTAAGAATAGTCTCATGTAGTCCAAGGTAGTGACCATGTAGCTGAGGATGACCTTGAACTCCTGACTTCCTGCCTCTACCTCCCAAGTGCTGGGATTGCAAATGTGTGCCACTGTACCTAACTTTCATTTAAAAAAAAAAAAGGGAGAGGGGTTATTACATTTGTGTGTGTGTGTGTGTGTGTGGGTGTGTATGTTTGCATGTTTACATGTACGCATACATGCCTCAGTGAACATGTGGAGGTCAAAGGACAATTTCTGAGGATTAATTTTCTCCTCCTGCCATGTGGGTCTTGAAGATCAAACTCAGGTGGTCAAACTTGGTAGCAAGTGCCTTTATCTGCTGAGCTGTCTTGCTGGCCCTATTTTATGTTTTTTGAGACAGGATCTCTCTGTGTAGTTTAGGCCGGCCTGGAACTCTCTGTTTAGCTTAGGCTGTCCTGGGAACTTGCTGTTCAGACTGGCCTGAAACTCAATCTTTCTGCCTCAGCCTCCTGAGACCTAGAATGACAGGAGTGTGTCACTAAGGACTTGAGCTGTGTGGTACAGTGTAACTAGTACTTAGTAGGTTACAGGCCTTGTGTCACTAAGGACTTGAGCTGTGTGGTACAGTGTAACTAGTACTTAGTAGGTTACAGGCCTTTAGACCTAGCTTGTTAGAATTTTTTGTCTCAATTATGCATAAGTTTATCTTAGTGGCTCTGACTGCAGTCATCCCAGCTGAGAAGCAGGGCCTCTACAGAGGCTCTTAAGGAGGGAGATAGTATTGGAATTCAGAGATTTGAGAAATTCCCTGTGTGATTCTCTGCCCTTAGAAGGTATCTTCAAGAATGATCTCTGAGTAGTATTAAAGGCATCCAGTATAAATCCTTATCAGTCCTCTGCTTTCATAAAGTCTGCTTGGTACAAAACTTTCTGTCTCAGCCTTGTATTTATACAAAGTCTTCCTGAAAGACTAGAACTTTATATTTCTCTGCAACAACTAGGACTAGGTCTCACACATGTCCTAACAGTTTACATTAAGTAAGTTCTTAGGAATCTTATTCTGCCTAAAGTAGGAGTTGGTTTACAAAATATCTTTAGATATCACTGAAGTTGGATATAAAATATTATTTTAAAGTAAAATGTCCATTTTTGTTTTGCTTTAGTTTTTTGAGATCGAGTCTCACTGGAACTTCCTGGCCCAGAACTCACTATATAGACCAGGCTGTCCTTAAACTCACAGAGATCTACCTGCCTCTGCCCTCTGCCCTCTGCCTCTGCATGCTGGGATTAAAGGCCTGCACTACCATGCCTGGCTATTTTTAATTTTGAGATGAAATTTTGTTGTGCTACCAGGCTGGTTTTGAGCTCCTGGGCTGAAATGATCTTTCTGCCTCAGGCTCCAGGTAGCCAGGCCTCTGTGCCCTGCTCAACTAGATTTCTTTTAAATTTGTTTTTGTGCCATTATCCTTCAGATGCCTTTTAAAAAGTTTCATTAGTTGAAACTTAAGTAGATTAACAAAAAGGAAACATCTCATGCCCATGGAGAAGTACTGAAAGGACTGATTATAAACTTGAATTGTCAATTCATTGTAGTAGGTGTGGTGAGGAGAGAAATCCTTTATAGATTATATAATTACTTTTCAGAGGTATTGGTCTTTATTGTCTGTTTTCTGAGGCCAGGTCTCATGACCTGAATTCACTATATAGCTGAAGCAGTCTCTTGATCCACCTGCCTCTAACTCCCAAGTGCTAAATTACAGCATGCATCATCAGACCTGGCAAGATTCTTCTTCTGATTAATATGTTTACAATAACAGTTTGGTTTAGCCTCAGAGAATTTATTTCAGTAAATAAGATGCTTAAAAAAAAATTGGGGGCACAACCATGGCTAAGATTAAGGCTTAGGAACTTTGTGGCAAGAATGAGGAGGAGCTGCTGAAACAGCTGGACAATCTGAAGGTGGAGCTGTCCCAGCTGCATGACGCTAAAGTGACAGGTGGCACCAAGTCCAAACTCTCCAAGATCCAAGTTGTCCAAAAGTCTGTCACCCGGGTCCTCACCATCATTAACCAGACTCAGAAAGAAAACCTCAGGAAATTCTACAAGGGCAAGAAGTACAAACCCCTGGACCTGTGGCCCAAGAAGACGAGAGCCATGCACAGCTGGCTCACCAAACATGAGAAGAGGCTGAAGACTAAGAAGCAGCATTGGAAGGAATGGCTGTATACACTGTGCAACTATGGGGTCAAGGCCTAAGGTTGCTACAGTTTGCAATAAAACACAAAACTGGCTGACAAAATATTGGGCCAGGCGTGATGGCGTATGCTCCAGCACTTAGGAAGCAGAGGCAGGCAGATCTCTGTGAGATCAAGGGCAGCATAGTCCATATAGTGAATCCTAGGCCAGCTGGGAGACCCTGTCTCAGAAAAAAAAAAAGAGGAATAAAGAAAGAAAAAATTGGGCTGTGGAGATGGCTCAGCACCAGAATTTCATCCTTTAAACCCACAAAAAGTTGGAAGAAGAGAACTGATTCCAGAAAGTTGTCCTCTGACCTCCACAGGTGGGCCATGGCATGCGCACACATCCCCACCATATACATGCATATGGTAATAAAATGTTTTTAAAAGACAAGAAATTTACACCAGTCTTCTCACTAAAGAATGCAAGCCAGTCATTTTCAGTCTCTACCCAGCGAAGACCCTGCTGCCAGAAGCCTCTTTTGAGGCACGGAAAAGGGCCTAGTCTGCTAGTTATTTTGCATATACTTAATTTACTTTTATTATATTGGGTTCCCAGGTTTTGACTGAAACTTGTGCTTTGGGCTGTTGACAGGTTTTTCCTTGTTGGACTGTCTTGCATTGTTACAGACTATTTCAGGCATGCAAGTAATGTCCAAATCAGGAAAATAACAGGTTTCAACCTTCTTATTAATTCTTAAATTCTCTTTGTTTTCTGGCTTTAGGTAATGGATGATGAATCAGATGAAAAAGTGAACTCACCATAAGATAATCTGGGTAAAACAGTGTGACTCACATATACTAAGCTTTTATTAAGATACTATGGAAGTTATGATTAATAAAATATTTCCTCTCCACATAGAATACTACCTAAATATTACAAGTTTGCCTTGCCTTACAAGTTATTTATAACATCCTGAGTCATCACTGCATATGTGGATTTTATTCAAGGTTATTTTAGTTTTTGCTCCTTGCTGGTTCTTTGTATAGTGTGTAGCAATTTAAAACACACTCCTGTACTTTACTTACTTGCTTTTTTTATACAAAAATAAATAGGAAGAATTCTTTTAAAATTTCCTGAAATGACTTAATTTTCCTTGTGAGATATCTGAAATGAAGTGCCTCCTCCCTTCTGTGATGAGGGCCCAGTACTAAAGGCAGAATAGAACAGATGTGTGCACCCCTGTGCAGTCACACATAGCTGTAGAGGCTGGCAAATACAAAATACGAAGAGTGAGCCAAAACCTTTCCCTAGAAAAAGATGCCTGTTTCTTGGATGATGTTCCTAAGTGATATAGTGTAAGTTAACAGAACTTTATACTAATCTAGATATACCTTATGTTGCATGTAAGAGATATAAGAGAAAACATATTTGATTATACACATATGTATGTCCACATATATACATGCAAACATAGGAACACTCATGACAATTTGGTCTTCTGTCGCTGGTCACATGATTGTAGGTGATATTTATAAATAACTCCCTTCTCCCACTACATAGCACATATTTCCTTTGCTTCAAGGAACTCAGCTGAGTGTGGCTTGATCTGGTGAGGCAATGTCCATTTTCTTCCTTGAAGATATGCCATATTAACTATCCTGCTTGGATTGCATTATAATTTCCCATTGACATTAATCATAGGGGATGGGACTGGAAAGAGATGTTCTACATCCCAGACATCTTCCTCCTGTGAAGGAAGGTAATCTTCACTGTGCAATTATAGTTCAGTTTCCCCAAGATAGGATTTTTCATTCCACCTAGTACCATAACTCTCTTCTCTCTTTTCTGCCTATTAATTCAGAGGCATGGGGAGCCCAAAGCAGCAGGATAGCAGTCACCTGGTTCAGCTGTATCTCCTCATAGTTTTCCTTCCTTTGGAACTAAGACATCTAGGCCAGCAGAGCACAAAGTCTCGGGAAGCAATAGAGTTGCCCCAAAATGGAGCCTCTTTTTGGACTTTTGAGCCTCATCTAGGGTAGAAAGGACCTCATACTGGATATAGCCTTTGAAGACTGTTGCTTTAGCCTTGCAAGGTGTTCCCTTCTGGCGCTGTAATGAAGTCTTCAAAAAGCAATTTCACCATTCTGTCAAGCCAGCTGCTTCAGATGGGGAATATGAACCCTGGCCCATTATAGCCCCTCACTCATGAAGTGAGTTCCCTGGTCAAAGTGGTGCTGTTTGTGGAATATAGTGGTTGTAGATCTGTGGGTGGTAATTTTGGCAGAAGCATTATGTACAGGGAAGGCAAATCCATATGTGGAGTATTGACTCCCATAATAAAACACTGTGACCTCCATGATGAAAGGAATGGTGCCAGAGTAAAGGCTCGGTGGGCGCTTAGCATGTCTGCAGCCAGGGAAGCCCTGGAGAGCAGCAGTCCATTTCTGAGCCCATGTATATTTATCCCTGCCCTAGCCACCATAATCATTTTGTGGATAAGCCCACCAGGCAATGATAGAGTGTCCGAGAAAAGAGAGTGTGCTCTTCACAGAGTAGGTCATCCTACCTACTTGATTATTGAAATCCTTCTAGCCTGAGGATGACTCCAGTGAGAAGGTCACACGGGATACATCTTTACATTTTGTGGCAATCAGCAAGATCTGTCCAAAAGTTTTTTTCTTGCCTCTAATTTTCAAGTACTGTTTCTTCCATGACCTTCCATGATCACCTGCCTCTGCCTCCCGAGTGCTGGGGCTAAAGGCGTGCACCACCACGCCCAACACTTCTTGATGTGACTTGTGCTGTCAGGGCTCTTGGGTCTAATTTCATGTGACAATGGAGTGCTGCTGTGTATGCCAAATGTTATGACTCTGGGTCAGGTAACACCTGGCTTTTGTTGGGGAAAGGGTTGTGTTCTAACCTGGTGGCCATAAGTAGACCCAATAGTAAATGAAAAGATGTTTCTCAGGCTGGAGAGATGGCTCAGTGGTTAAGAAGACCCAGGTTCAAATCCCAGAACCCACAAGGCAGCTAACAACTGTCCGTAACTCCAGTTCCAGAGGATCCAACAGCCTCTTCTGTCCTCAAAGGGTATTGCATAACACGAGTACACTTACCTATATGCAGGCAATACACACATACACATAAAATAATTTTTTTTTTTAAAAAAGATGTTTCTCAAAAAGGGAAGTTGTTGCCACAGAGGGGTAAGATTCTGAAACCCCAAGGGCCTGTACTCTGATTCACCTATAAGAGCCTGCAAAAGACTCTAGGTGACACCCCTATCTGCTACAGATGAAGACCACTGGATCTGTTGGGCCATATGGCTCTTGTGGCAGCAACTTGTACAGCCTCCCTGATCTACTGCAGTCTTCTCATTTCTGGGCTCCACTTGAAACCTGAAATATAGCTTCTCAGGTCATTTCATATATGGGCTGGATTAACTCACCCTTTTGAAGCATGCATTTCCTCCAAGATCCCATGAGGCCCAATAAGCACTGTGTGTCTTTGGGTTGTAGGAGTGGCTAGAGATAACAATTTATCCTTATGTTACAGGATTATTTTGCCATGCCTCATGCCACTACTTCTCTAGAAATGCCTATGGTAGAAGGCCTCTGAATTTTTTTCAGGTTTACTTCCCATCCCCTAACAAGCAACTCTTACCAGTATCAGAGTTGTTACTTCTCCTTCACAATGTCCATCGGAATGTCATTAATATAATGAACCAGTGTGATTGTTTGATTGGAGTACTAGAAATGGAACGCAGAGCCTTGAAAGAGCCTAGGCAAGTGCTTCTCCCATGTGCTGGGATTATAGGCTTATACCACCATTCCCCGGTGAGGTATCTTCAGAAAGATAAAATCCTTGCAACCTAAGTTAGGATGCAGTTGGAGATTTGATATACCTCTGAGGGAGGGCAGCAAATGTGTACTGCTGACTTTGCCACCTAAAAGGATACTTTCTGGTGGCCTTTGACAGGAATGAAGGAGAAAAAAACCCAACATTTTCTAGTTCAGTAGCTACATAGCAGGTAATGGGGGATGTACAGTCTGTTCACATGATGAAATCAGATTTGATGCTGCTGCAGGTCCTTCTAGTTAAGCTTACAGTGATGTGCTTTATTTTTTCACATTTTTTGCATTGAATGATTATGTGTACATGTGTGTAAGCACACGTACACATGTGGAGATCAGAGGACAACTTAAAAGTTCCTCTTCTCCCCACCAAGCAGGTCCCAGGGAGCAAACTTGGGTCTTCACACTTAGTGGCAGGTGCCTTTAGCTGCTGAGCTGTTGCTGGGCCCACAATGATCCACTTTCATTGTCTACTGTACAGGCCATGGGGATGTGGTGGGAACTACCTCCATAATTTCCAAGTTCTTGATGGTGTGCTGTCTGTAGTCCCTCAGAAGCACAGGATTGCTGCTGCTGCTCCTCCTCCTCCTCCTTTTTAAAAGACAGGGTCTCACTATGTAACCCTGGCTGGCCTGGAACTTAATATGTAGACCATGTTGGACTTGAACTCTTGGAGCTCAGCTTGCCCACCTCACAAGCACTGGGATTAAAGGCATGTGCCACACATGGCACATAAAGGCTTGCCATGTCTAGTCCAAATTGCCTTTTGAGTTTACCATTTTTCTGGGTATATGAAGTTCTAATGGTTTTTACTTGGCCCTCGTTTCACAGGTCAGGGAACTAGTGGGGATCCTGTCAGTTGCTGGGTATGTCTATTCCAGTCAGGTACTCTGTAACTGGAGAAGTAATCATAGGTTGGTATGGGGACCCACTGGCCCCATGGTTACCTAAACTAAAACTTCATCAATCACTTGACCTCCACAAGCTCCTACTTTCATGGACCAAGGTAACATTTTGGGTATCTTGAAATTTATGTGAGTTCAGAGCCAGTGTCTAGTAGTTTCCAAAGGTCTGATTCTTTTTCCCCAGTGCTGAGAACTGAATTCCAGTCTTCTGCAAGAGCAGCAAGCACTTTTAATGGCTGAGTCATCTCTCCAACCTAGTTTGTGTATTTGAGGCAAGGTCTCAGTCTGGTCCTGAACACACTATGTCGGCAAGATGAGCTTAAACTTCTGACCTTCTCTCTGCCTCAGCCTGGATGCTGGAATTGGTGCCCTTTGTTCTTGTCTTTTCCTTCTCATAGGCCTTAGGGCTCATCTTATTTCTTTATTCTTTGATACGTGCCACCATCTTTTCTGCCCACTGGGTACAATTTTCTACAAAACTTCCTTAAAACTTGGGACATTATATGCTGTAACTCCCATATTTTGGTTTTATGCAATAAACTTTTATGACCATTTATTGGAATTTGGATAAGGGGTAACAAAAATCACAAAAGGTTAAAAACCTTAAAGAGCTACTTAAATAATGGTTCATTTGAAAAATAGTATTTTTACATTTATTTGGTGTGTGCCAAGGCACACGTGGAGGTCAGAGGACACCTTTCAGGAGTCAGTTCTCTCCTTCCACCAGGTGGGTAGGGGTTGAACTTGGGTCATCAGGCTTAGCAGCAAGTGCCTTTACCTGTTAATCTATCTCACTGGCTCCTTTTATTCTTTAGAAACAGTGACTGAGAGCTCTGGTAGCCTTCAGCCCATCAGTCTGTAGAGCAGGGCCACAGCACAAAACCACTAGGTTTAATGGGTCTGACTATCTGAACAGGGAAGTGGACTGCCTTGAAGAGACGAATGAGACACTCCTTTTCCTTAAGTTTGTCCACAGCTGTTTGTTTAGGAATCCTTTCCATTCCCTCAGATGCACCAATTAGTCCCAGATGTCTTCTTTCTTTCACACAGAATTTATTTTTTCGTTTAGGCTTTATTTTTACAGAATTGGGAAGTAAAAGCTCTGCAGTGTCTCTACTGGCACATGGTTACAAAGGGTTCTTTGTTGTGGTGGTTTAGTGAGGTTGTTGAAGGCTGAGTTGGACAACATTGATCTTTACAGTTTCTTCCTTTTAACTGGTGCTGAGCACCTATCAATAGCTGTAGAATCATGGAGAAGAGACACTGTGAATGAGTAGCAGGCAAGGGAGCCAGTTCAAGATTATTACAGTTGGAATACCAGTGGTACTCCTGCTATTTCTCTGTGATACCAACAGGTCTACTGCCGGTGAACACAGGTTGCACAGGAACCATACTTTGACACTTGGTCAAAATCATCCAAAGTCCTGTTTCCCCAATTTAGGGTCTTTAGGCTAAAATGTCTTATCTACAGAGGATCCTGTTTCTTGAAATGTATTGCCCATTAACAAACAGTTCGAACACCTTGTTAACTCTGTCCTAAGTCAACTAGGGACCTGTTTAATGGCTTGAGTTGTCACTATGTAGACCAGGCTGGCCTCGAACTCAAAGATCCACCTGCCTTTGCCTCTGAGTGCTGGGATTAAAGGCATGTGCTACCACACCTGGCTGAAATAAAGTTTTAGGTGAGAAATACCTTGATTTGACCTCTATTTGAGGCAAGTAATGAAAAACTGAAATGCCTTTGCTTCCTTGAGCAGGTAAATTCTGTTGATACTGCTTTATCCACACACTCAAAAACAGATTACGTTAATTAAATTTAGTGGTGTGTGCGTGTGCAATTTGTAGGAATCGGTTTTCGGCTTCCATGTAGGTCCTAGAGATCAAACTCAGGCTTGGCTGCAAGTGTCTTCATCCCAAGCCGATCTCTCTGGCCCCCATAACATTTTTGATTCATTACTTCTTGCCAGGGTCTATACTATGTGTTAAGTTACACAGACTCACTCCATCCTTAAGAAACTTTAAGCACAGCTCGGTGGGAGAGAGAAAAAAGCTGCAATACATAAGCATATTGCATTAAATTAAAAGGACGAGAAGTTAACATGCGCCTCTTTGCGGGGGAAGGCAAAAAGAGGTAGCATTTAAGACAAGGACGTGTGGGGACTCCAGCAGTTAGGGGAAGGTGCAGCTTGAGAATGCTAGCTGAAGGGCTGCTGTTGGACTTCGCTGGGGCACACAGGGCTGGAATGTGCGGTGGGCAAGTAAGGCCACCAAGCAGAGGTCTGATGACCAGCAGCACTTGACCAAAGGCAGTAAACCTTCCTGAAGCAAGTGTCTGGGTCATTTCTCTGGAACCTCTCTCCTCTCTAGTCAAGGGTCTCTTGGGAATGGAGCATTCACTGATGGCATCAGCGATGGTGACAGGCAACCTCAGGTGGGCAGAGATGGCCAGCAGTTTCCTGAGCGCAGGCGCAGTGCCAGGACCGCGGAGCCTGCCGTGGCACCCTCAGCTAGGGTCGCGAAGAGGGAGGCCGGTGGGGCGTATCCTACATCTCAGGCGTCACACCCAGATCCCCCCGGGGGCTGCGGCCGGCTCCCGCTCCTCCCGCTGCACGCTGACGTGCCTGTCCCAGGCTCTCCTTCCGGCCTCGGCTTTCCTCTCTCCAGTTTCTCTAGACCCAGGCGGGCCTCTCGGCAAACATTCCTTTCCTCCTCCTTCCTCCCCCTCCTCCTTGGCTGCTCCGCTCACCCCGAGGTTGGCGGCTCCAGGAACCTAAAGCGGATGCGGCCTGAGCGCTGCCACGTCTTCGGAGACAGCAGCCCAGCGCCTGCGCTCTCCGGGGGCGGGACCTGCGCGTGAGCGGTGCCGCCAAGGTCCAATGGGGGAGCCGCAGCGGTGCGCGGCGCGGAGGGCGGGGCGGTGGCTGAGGGCCGAGTCCAGAGCCCAGCAGTGGAGTTGGAGCTGTCGCATCCGAGGCCGCCGTGTCGCTGCCACCCAGCTCGAGCTCGTCCTTGCTTCCGAAGTCCGCGCGCACCCTACTGCTCGGCCCTCGCCTCGCAGCCGGCATCATGTGCGGTAAGGACGCGACGGGGGCGTGTGGTGGCTGCCAGGTACAAGCCCTGAGGCCCAAGGTGGATGATACGAGTCCGCGGGGCGGCATGGGGCGGGGGTCCTGAAGAGGGGTTGTCCTGAGGAGAAGGGTACCCCGAAGAGAGGTGGCCTTGGGGGCGGGGTCTTTTTGAGAGAGTGGGACCTGGGAAGAGAGGTGGCCTTGGGGGGGGGGTTTTTGAAAGAAATTGGGACATGGAAAGAGAGGTGGCTTGGGGCGAAGGGGTTGGGGGGGTTCCCGAGGAGGCGGATGGGCCAGGGGCGGGGGTCCGGAGGAGAGGGGTTTCAGCACCCAGTACCTATGTGGCTGCCAACAACCATCTGTAACCCTAGTTCCAGGGAATCCGATGCACTCTTCTGATCTCTGCAGGCATTGAAAGCAAAGTACACTTAACGTACATGCAGGCAAAACACTTATAAAATAAAAATTAAACATTTTTTAAAAGGTCGGGTGTGGTGGTGGCACAGGCCTTGAATCCCAGCACTTGGGAGGCAGAGGCAGGCAGATTTCTGTGAGATTGAGGCCAAGCCTGGTCTACATAGCAAGTTCTAGGCTAAATAGGGCTAGAGGGAAACCCAGTCTTTAAAGAAAAAAAGTGTCTTACACTGTGCTTCAGGCTGACCTGGAACTCACTTTGTAACCCCACTGGCCTCAAATTTGAGGCAGTTCCCCTTCAACCTCCTGAGTGCCGGAATTCTAGGCATGAGCCACCACGGCTGGCTCCCAGGAACACTTAGAAAAAAAATGTGATTGTAAGATTTGAAGTTGTTTGGGAAACATTTTTTGAAGCCTTTTGCTTGAAGGAACTGAGGAAGAGGTGGTCTACTCATTGTGTATTTTCCTGTGGTAGCTTAATTTTGCCTTCTGAAATGAGCAGGTTTAAGTTTAGAGATTCTGAAAACCCATATTAAAACAGAAACACCTAAAAATATCTTACTGAAATTATTAGAGTAGAACTGAATTCAGAATCAGTTCTACTTATGCTGTTTAATTAATAGATTGGTTTTAGCATACACAAATTAGCTTGGAGTTGTGAGTAGTGAATTTTCAAACTGGTTAAAGTATTTGACTTGGTAATTAGCTCCCCCCTCCCCCAGCGTTTCATGTAGCCTACCTAGGTTGGCCTCATACTTACTGTGTAGCTGAGAATAACCTTGAACTCACAATCTTTCCTCCGCCTCCCAAGTGCCACCACTCCCAGTGAATTAGCTGTGATGAGTTGTGTGCCTAGTCCAGTACCTAACATTCTGGTTGCAAGTTATTTCCTCATCTTGTTCCAGGAAGAAAGGTGTCCATGTACTGTAAAACAACAACAAAAGAAATCAGATGTAGTTCGGGAAAGTCTCAGATAAGGAAGCCTTTTAGGGAGGAGACTAAATGTTAGTCGAGATGGCTGGTAGTATAGGACAGCCATTAAATTATTTTATTGCTGAGGAAATTCATTATAGAGAATAAGTAAGCTACCACAGTTTTTGAGGCATTTCTAAGGTCCTTCTTTTAAATTAGAGTTTAAATTAGAGGAACATTTAGAGCTTATTTCCTCTAATGTGAAATTTGAAAGTTAAGATGAGAAGTTATCTTTATTTTCCTCCTATATCTTTTTGTTGCTTGTTATTTTGTCTCTTGGGTTTGTTTTGTTTTTAATTGAGCCAAGGTCTGATGTATCCCAGGATGGCTGAGAACTCCTGACCCCCTGTTCTACCTTCTCAGGTACCTGGATTTACAGGAATGTTCATCGTACCAGGCTCTGCCCATGTCTTATTAATCACTGAAATAAAATTTCTAGGCAGAGAAATTGAAGGAAAATGAGAACATTTAGAAGTTTACCTTCTAATTTTCTGCCACCTACTCAAATTTTTCTAAAAGATTATTTTTAAAATATTTTATGTGTATGTGTTTGGCCTACATATATGCAAGTATATCATGTGTGTGCAATGCCCTCAGAGGGTATCAGATCCCACTGGAACTGGAATTACAGACAGGAGGGATTGTTAGCCACCATATGGGTACTGGGAACTGAATCCCAGTCCTCTGGAAGAGCGGCTAGTGCTCTTAACAATTGAGTCATCTCCGCAGCCTGCCTGCCGTTTTTTTGAAGTAGAGTCTCTCTGTAGCCCCAACTGGCCTGGAACTCAATGATGGAGACCTCACTGGGCTCGATCTCACGTTGATCCACCTTTCTCTCCCCCCAGTGCTGGTATTAAAGGCATGTGCTACCATGCCCAACCTAAAAGATTATTTCTTGAAGTAAAAGAATAAGAACTGAGAGTCCATGGATATGTATTTTTCTATCAAATATATTGATAAAACTGTTAAATTGTTTACTATATGCATTAGACTATTAATGAAAAGATTTTATAGTCAAACAAATTTGGGAAGCAACATATTAACCCAGTAACACATTATTGTTAATAAGCATTGTGAATTTCCCAGAGAATAGGGTGCCTATATTTAAAGTGTTTCAATTTCCTTTTTTTTTTTTGGTCTTTTTGAGACCGGGTCTCTCTGTAGCCCCAGCTGGCCTGGAACTCACTATGTAAACCAGTCTAGCCTTGAACTCACAGAGATCCGGGACTAAAGGTGTGTGCCACCATGCCTGGCTTACTCTTGATTCTTTTCTTTTTGTGAGAGTAGCTCAGGCTGGTCTCAAATTCAGAGTAATCCTCCTGTTTCTACCAGGTATTACAGGTGTAAGCCATTATGCCTGGATCCACTTTTGTTTCTGTTTTTGTTTTCTGTGATTCTGGGGATCAAACCCAGGGCCTTTTGCAAGATACTCTGCCATTGAGCTACATCCCTGACCCTATTTTTGGGTTATTGAGACAGTTGCAGAAGGTCTCATATAGTAGCTCTATTATAGCTAAGGATGACTTTGAACTGATCATCCTGCCTCCACCTCCCCCAAGTGCTGAGATTCTAGGCATGTCCCACTATGCTCAGTTTATGAGGTACCAGAAGGGAAGAACAAACCAGGGCTTCTTGCATACTTCACACTCTACCAGCTAAGCTCCATCCCTACCTCCCCAGCCCTTTTGATTTGAGAGAGTACCTCTAAATTGCCCAGGGAATTTTTTTTTTAAAGACAAGAGTCTCCCTGTAGCCCCAACTGGCTTGGAACTCACTGTGTAAATCAGGCTGACCTTGATCTCACAGAGATCTGGCTGCCTCTGCCTCCCAAGTGCTGGTACTAAAGGCATGTGCCACCATATCTAGCTTTGTTCATGAGCTTTTGTTCCTCCTTAGCTTTTTTTTTTTTTTTAATGTGTATGAGCGTATTGCCTGCATGTATGTAAGTGCACCCGTGTCGTTAATGCCACAGAGGTCAGAAGAGGGCTTCGGATTCCCCTGGAACTGGAGTTAAGGATGGTTCGTAGCCACCATGTAGGTGCTGGGAATCAAATCCGGGTCCTCTGCAAGAGCAGTCAGTGCTCTTAACCGCTGAGCCATCTCTCCAGCCCCGTCCTCAGCTTTTTTAAAAAAAATTAACTTATTTTTATTTTATGTGTATGAGTATTTTGCCTGCGTGTATGTAAGTGCACCCATGTCATTCAATGCCCATGGAAGCCATAGAGGGTATCAGGTCCCATGGAACAGTTATTCTTTTCATAAATTTTCAAGAGTTTTTATGTTGAGTTGTCTTTTACTAGTATGGTGAATAGTGATTCAAGCCATTAAATTTTTTTTTAATTTTATTATTTTTATGTGTACGTGTGTGTTGCCTGCATGTAGGTAAGTGCACCCATGTCATGCAATGCCCATGGAGGACAGAGAGGCTGTCAGATCCCCTGGTACTGGAATTACAGACAGTTGTTAGCTGCCATGTGGATGCTGGGATTCGAACCCTGGTCTTCTGCAAGAACAGCCAGTGTTCTTAACCACTGAGCCATCTCTCCAGCCCCTTAAAAACATTTTAATTCTTTGAGAATTTCATACATTGTATTTTGATTATATTCACTCCAAACTCCTTCCCCTAACTCCTCTTAGAGCCACCTTAAAAAAAAAAAAAATCTGTTGATTCTAATTTGTGTTACCCATACACTCCTGGGTGTGGGGCCATCCACACTAGTAGCCATACTCTTAAAATTGACTCTGCCTCCACTAGAAACCATTAACTGTCCATAACTCCTCAGTTAGGGGTAGGAACTCATGAACTCCTCTCCTCTCCATGGTAGACTTTTGACTGGCTTGATCTTATGCAGGTCATGTGCAGGGAACCACAGCTGCTGTGAATTCATGAGTGCATCAGTCCTGTCATCTCCAGAAGACACAGTTTTGTTCGGGTCCTCCCTGACCTCTGGCTCTGGCTCTTACAGTCTTTCTGATCCCTCTTCCATGATGGTCCCTGAGCCTGATTCAAGCCATTTTAAGGCAGTTAATATTTTTTTTCTCTTACTAAATTATTGGGCTGGGATGTAGTTGAATGATTAGAGTTCAACCTAGCATTTGGTCTCCCAGCTCTGAAAAAGAATATTCAAATTGGGAGTCTTCTTAACATAATTTATTCTTACGTTAGTGATAGTGTAATCATTGGAAGTAACAAAATCATCCTAGCTGTATAGTTGAAGAACTATTTGTGACTTAAAATACTTATTAGGTGTTTTTAAAATGTAATAGTATGTAGGATGTAGCCCACAAATTTGGCTAATTTTTAAAAATTTAATTTCATTTGACAAAATAGCAGTGAAGGAAAATAAGTTTTTAGTTTTATGAACTTTGTTGAAAACTAAATATTTATTTTATATTAATCTTTTATGCTTATAGGAAGTTACTATTTGAGCCGGGTGTGGTGGTGCACGCCTTTTATCCCAGAACTCAAGAGGCAGAGGCAGGTGGATGTCTGTGACTTTGAGGCCAGCCTGGTCTCCATAGGGAATCCAGGTCAGCTGTGACTACAGGGAGACCCTGTCTCAAAAAGGAAAAAAAAAAAAAGAGAAAGTTACTCTTGAAAAAACTTCAGTGGCTCTAAACAAGTTGAGATGGGGTTCTTTTTTTATTTAAATTTAATTAATTTATTATTTAGGCTTTTATTTATTTACTTTTTTGTGTGTATGAGTATTGTACTTACATGTATGTAAGTGGACCTGTGTCATGCAGTGCCCAAGGAGGACAGAAGAGCTTCCTTGTAACTGGAGTTACATCACTTGTTAGCTGCCATGTGGGTGCTGGGATTTGAACCCAGGTCTTCTGCAAGAGCATCAGGGCTCTTAACCAGAGTCATCTCTCTAGCTCTTATTACTTAGTTTTTGAGACAGGATCTCCCTATAACCCCAGGCCTGGATCTCACTGTGTAGACCAGGCTGGCCTCAGTCTCACAGAGATCCTTCTGCCTCTGCCTCCTGAGTGCTGGGACTCAAGGTATGCACCACCAGCCTGGGTTCTTTCTTCAAAAAGTGAATTCTAGCTTTACATTTTGCACATCCTAAACATAATTATGTCAACTTTGATTCATTCATCAGAATTTTCCATTAAATATTTATGCTCTTTTGCAGGTATATTTGCTTATTTAAACTACCATGTTCCCCGTACAAGACGAGAAATCTTGGAGACCCTAATCAAAGGCCTTCAGAGACTGGAGTACAGAGGATATGATTCTGCTGGTATTTCCTTTAAAAATATATTGTGGGTTTTGCATGACTCTTGAATCTAAATAGTACTTTTATTATTTTGGAATTTTTTTTTTGTTTTTGTTTTTCAGTTTATACATATATACATTTCTTTAAAAAATTTTTTAGTTTCTTTTTATTTTTTATGTATACTTTGCAGGTTCAGAGTTGAACTGAACAAACACACTGCAGTCCTCATTGTATACCCTATTCTGTTCTGTCCCTCTGTCAATAATTCTACAGTTCCTTTAAGCCTAGGAATGTCTGCTTTCTCACATCACATCCAGTCCCTTCTGTTTCTCATTACTCCAAAATCAGGCCTTCTGCATTTTGCTCTGTTGCAGCTGTAATGTCTAACAGCTGTTTTCTTTCTCCTCTTTTCTCCCCTCCAGCCTGTTTTTTGAGAGCATTTGCTAATTGTTCTTGCCATATTGTTTTTGTTTGAAATGACCTTCAGGACAGCATGTTCAAGTTCTTAGTAACTTCAGTAGAATTTCAGGAGATGCTTTTCCTGACCAGCCTTCATTTTTTTCCCTCTTCTGAGGTGTGTGCCCTTCTTACTGTACCTGTGGAACTTTATCACAGTTGTAACTTGTATAGCAGTGACTTATATAAGTAATAAACTTGTATGGTAATTTTTTTTCTTTGTTTTCTCAACAAACTTTTAGACAGTAACTGGATTCTCATAGTCCCTGTCCTGCTCTCTCTTCTCTTACCTTTTTATCTGACACTAGGTTTGAACTCAGTCCCATGAATGCTAAGTAAGTAAGCGCTCTACCACTGAGCTCCTGGCCTTATTTTCATTTTTGTCTTCAGCAACTGTCATTTATATTGATACATAATGGATTTTCAATAAATCCATTTGGTAAATGAATTAATTTGATGAATGTATAATTTTCCTAAATTAAAATTTTTGCCTTATATTGGTGCTTTCAGCAAGAGCCTATTTTTAAATCTTGCTCTCTTCTTGCTCATTTAGGTGTGGGAGTTGACGGAGGCAATGACAAAGACTGGGAGGCCAATGCCTGCAAAATCCAGCTTATTAAGAAGAAAGGAAAAGTTAAGGCACTGGATGAAGAAGTTCACAGTAATGTACTTACTTTGATTTTTGGCCCCTTCCCATTCTCCCTCTCCACCGAATGCTCTGTATTTTGGAACCCATTTTGGGGATGACTCTAAAAGTTGAAGAGAGGAAAGAAAAGTAGTTTTTGTCACTGCTTGGACTGGGTTTGAATTGTGCATGAACATCCGAAATGATCCTAGAAACTAAAAGAAATTAGGTGCCATGAGTTCAGAATAAGCTCATACCTCACCTGACAAGCTTCAGAAATACCATCCTGAGGAAGGGCCTTGCATAGGTGGTCTGCTTATGTGTCTCCACGTGGTGTGGTTTTTACTTGACTTAATAATGGCCCCAAATACAAGATGCTGATGCTGGCAATGCAGATAGATGGCAGAAGGTGCTTCCTGTGAGAAAGAAGGTGAAAAGGTCTTAATAAGGAAAGAAGGAAAATCATATGCAAAGCTGCTGAGTCATGGTAAGAATGAACCTTCTATTTAAAATTGTGAGGAAGAAGGTGAAAAGTTCTTAATAAGGAAAGAAGGAAAATCATATGCCAAAGTTGCTAAGAGTCATGGTAAGGATGAACCTTCTACTTAAAATAGTGAAGAAAAAAGAAATTTGTTCAGGTCTTACTGTCATGTCTCAAGCTAAAAACATTATGGGCACAGGGCATGGTGAGTGGTTCATTAAGGTGGAAAAATGTAAAGATACTGAGTAGAAACACACATGCTGTGTATAGAGCTCAATACCATCTGTAGTTTCAGATATCACTGGGTGTCTTAAAACACATAGCTTGTGGATAAGGGGGACTACTGTACTTATATTTAATACATTTTTTAGCATCTGTACAGCATTATCAAATACTGGGAATTTTCATTGTATTTCCTACAGAACAACAGGATATGGACTTGGATATAGAATTTGATGTACACCTTGGAATAGCTCATACACGCTGGGCAACACATGGAGAACCCAATCCTGTCAATAGTCACCCCCAACGCTCTGATAAAAATAATGGTATGAACAGATCTTCTGTGCTTTGAAATGATTGTAAAGGGACAGTAATGGAAGAAGAATGAAGGTGCTTATGTTATTATTTTAGTTTGATTTTCATCTGGAAAATTTCAAAACATTTTCAGATAAGAGTATACAGAACTTGATCCATTTCCCCAACTGCTACATTTGTACATACAGGATTGATTATGTATATGCTTCCTGTTTAGATTTTGGAGTTTCAATAATGTAGATTGGTAGCTCTTTAATATATCAGTTTGTAGGTCCTCCTTTTTTCTTTCTAGTGTAGTTTACTATGTTGTTTGCAAGTTTTTGTAGCCTAGACCTTGCTAATTATATCCCTGTCAGTTAATGTTTCTCTGTGTCTTCACTATTTCATTTTGGCTTTTTTTCCCTTTTGATTTTTTGAACCAGGGTCTCACTATATAGACCTGACTGGTCTTGAACTTGCATCGATCCTTCTGTCTCTTAACTCCTAAGCTTAACTCCTAAGAACTGAGATTACAGGTGTATGCCACCATACCCTGCTGAAAGACCCCTCCTGTGCCCCCCCCCCCCCCCCAATCCTGGGCATTGAGCCAAGAGGTTCAAGCAGGTTAGGCAATTCTCTACTATGAGCTCTATTCCCAGCCCTGAGTATTTATTATAAATTGGGATGGTGTTTATTTGGGCCTGGAGGTTCATAGTTTTTTTGTGTTAGCCATTGGTGATCACTGCAGAGATTAGTTTCTTAGGGATTGTCAAATGGCAATAGTCCAGTACCTTCAGTCCGCCTTCAGTTTTGATCTTGGATACTTCTATAAAGAATTTTACTCCTGTAAACTGCTTGGTCACCTTGAGGTGACTGTATAGGAAAGGCAGAATGAATGCTTGATTCTTTTCCTTTATTTACCATTTTCCAAACATAAGTGGTTCTGGTTCTGAGCAATTATTTTTTTTTAATTACTATAAAAACCATGGTAAATTTTTGAGTGTCTTTAAAATTTTTTTTGAGATGGTCTCTATAGCCCCAACTGGTCTGTAACTCATTATGTAGACCAGGCTGGCTCCAATCTCATAGAGATCAGCCTGCCTCTACCTCCTGAGTGCTGGGATTAAAGGTGTATGCCACCACACCTGGCAAGTGTCTTTTTAAAATTAATTGGAAAAAAGTTATTTTTTCTTGTTTTGTGAGTGCCTACATGTATGTATGTACCTATGCGTGAAATGCCTACAGAAGCCAGAAGAGAGCATTGGAGCCCCTGGAACTGGAGTTACAGACAGTTGTTAGCCACTGTGTTGGTGTTGGGAACTGGAATCGAACCCTGGTCCTTTGCAAAAACAGCCAGTGCTTTTAACTGCCCAGTCATTTCTCTAGCCTGACTTTTTTGGAGGTGCTGGTTTGTTGGGATGAAAAAGATGAGATCTGTAGGTATATTGAGAACATTTTGATACTATAATATAAAATTAGATTCAGGCTCGTATGGTGGTCTGTGCCTGTTGCTCCAGTTACTCAGAAAGCTGAGGCAGGAGAAGCACTTGAACCTAAGAGTTTGAGGCCAGTCAGACTGTAAAACCATTGTTTTAGAAATAATTTTTCTTTGGATATGTGAACTTTAAAGCCACACTGTACATAATATTGTTAACTTAGTTGTCTGTTCTTATATTTTTCAGCTACTTAATAAAAATAGATGACAGTAATCCTAAGATCATATTTATTTGCTCTTGGGATGATACTTTAACTTTTTTTTTTTTTTTTTTTTTTTTTTTTTTTTTAGAAGGGTCTTGCTGTAGCCACAGCTGTCCTGGAACTCACAATGTAGACCAGGTTGACCTTCAACTCACAGAGATCCTCCTGCCTCTGCCTCCCGAGTGCTGGGATTAAATTATCTGAACCTTAGACAAATTTAACTCTAGAACTGAATATTTATGTAGTTACTAGTTCTTGAACTTCATTTAATTTTACTCAGATTGTTTTAGTTAGGAAGAGCTTCTTTTTAAACTTAACAACTGAAGAAAAAAACAAACAGAGCAGTGAGAGTGCTCATGTAGGGTAGCCTTCTGTAAGCAAGGAAACAGGCCCAGGAGACTTGCTCCTTTCATTCCATAATATTGGGATAATAGTTTAACACAGCAGAAATCTGGGTATCCTCCCTCACGTACATGCTGCTGGAACTGTGTACCACAGAAACTGTGCTACTGAGCTGCATGGTGATAATGCACAGTTAGTAGCAGATGACAGTGGATGACACCCACTAATACATTTCCATTTCCAACTTTTTGACTTGAGAAAATTTTATTGATTGGCCAGGTGTGATAGTGCATGCCTGTAATCCCAGCACTCTGGGTGGGGCAGAGGCTAGAGGATTATCACAAGTTCAAGGCCAGCATTTGCTATATAATGAGACTTTGTCTCAAAAAACAAGACAACCAAAACACAAGAAAATATAAAGAAAAATCTATTCATAATAATAGATAACAGATAACTGTCAATGCTTTTATGTCTTCTAGAATTTATTGTTATTCATAATGGAATCATCACCAACTACAAAGACTTGAAGAAGTTTTTGGTGAGTAAAAACCTTAGAAGTAACTGAACTTAGAAGACATCAGACTTTGAGAATATTTTTAGTAAGAGTCATAAGGCTCTGTAATGTTATTTAGACATGCTTGAGTATTTCCTAAGATAATTACAAGGACTTTACTTTCTTAACAGTGGAGCAATTCTGATTTCTCATATGAGAAGGAAGTAATTGATTTTTATTATAAATGACAGAATTAGAGTTTTGAGAACTAGCTATGTGCTATACTGTGACGGTGCTGCCACGGGGATATCCATTGAATTTCTACAGTAATGGAAGTTCTGTTATCTGTGTCATCTAGCATAGGGGGCACCATGCACATGTTGAGCTTCTGTGACTGAGAAAGTGATTTTTATTTTTAAGTTTAAATAGCCATATATAACTAATGGCTCCTTTCTTTGACAATATCAGTAGAGAATTATTATATTCATCATAAAATTAGTATTTTGACTATTATATATTTCATTATATTTTAATTATTCAAAATTTAATTCATATGAGACATTTAAGTGTGTGTTCAGTTGTACTTAATACTGTGTTATGTGGGTTCTCTGTAATCAGACCTTAATCTTGAATAATTGGTAAATATGATGGGGCTGGAGAGATGGCTCAGTGGTTAAGAACACTGGATGTTCTTACAGAAGGCCTGGGTTTGAATCTCAGCACACACTGTAGCTAACAACTGTCTGTAACTCCAGTTCCAGGGGATCTGACAGCCTCTCCTGTCCTCCATGGGCATTGCACAACATGGGTGCACTTACCTACATGCAAGCAATACACTGTTAGAAAGTAGTAAGATTTAGGGGGCTAGTGAGTTGACTCAGTGGGTAAAGTGATTGCCACTGAAACCTGACAACCTTGAGTTCATTTTCTGGAATTCATATAAAGGTGGTAGGAGAAAATTAATACCACAAAGCTGTCTTCTGACCTCCATACTCACACCATTACACACTTGCACTCACGTATGACATACACATACACACACACACACACACACATACACATAGAAATTAGGTTTTTGAGAGAAAACTCTTAGAAATATTTGAGCTTCATGAACATTTTCTTAAATGTATCAACGTGATTTTTTCTTCTTTTAAATTTCTGCTTTCAGGAAAGCAAAGGCTATGACTTTGAATCTGAAACAGACACCGAAGCCATCGCTAAGCTTGTCAAGTACATGTATGACAACTGGGAAAGTCAGGACATCAGTTTTACTACCTTGGTGGAGAGAGTTATCCAACAATTGGTATTAAACCATGCTTTTAAAGATGATTATGTCAGGACTGGGGAAATGACTCAGCAGGAAAGTGCTTGCTGTGCAAGAATGAGGACTAGAGTTCAGATCCCAGCGTCCACATAAGTGCTGGTGGCTGAGGCAGTCCATTTGTAATTCCAGCTTCCAGGAGGTGGAACCAGATCGTGGAACAAGCTTCTAGCAAGCTAGACTAGCTGAATCATCAGTCTCAGGTTCAAGTGAGAGACCCTACCTCAATATATAAGATGCAGAGCAACAGAAGGATACACTTAATGTTAAACTTCTGGCCTCTACCTGTGCATTCACACATGCATGTGTACCTATACCCACATCAGCACTCACACTGACATGCAAGCACATACATTAACATGCATATTACATGCAATAAAAGGTTAGTTATGTCATCAATGTTAATGTCAAGTAATTTTTTTTTTTTTAAATCTTTTTGAGACAGGGTCTCCTTGTAGCCCTAGCTGGCCTGGAACTCACTTTGTAGACCAGGCTGGCCTGGAACTCAACAGAGATCCGCCTGTCTCTGCCTGCCCCCAGTGCTGGGATTAAAGGCATACGCCACCACACTCAGCCTATTTTTTTTTTTTAAAGTTACATTTCTTTATTTCTTAGCCAGGGAGTGGGGGGAATTTGTGTGTTCCAATGGTGTACATGTAGAGGTCAGTCCTAAGATAACTTGGAGGAGTCCATTTCTTTCCTTCAGATCATGTGGGTCCCAGGAATTGAACCCAGGCTGTCAGACTTGGTGGCAAGCACCTTATTCGATAAGCCATCTTGCCAGCATAATGTCAAGTAATTTTGAGACAGGGTCTTCTATGTACTCCTGGCTGGCTTGGAATTTGCTATGTAGACCAGGCTAGTTTCAGTCTCACAGAGATCAGCCTGCCTCTGTGTAATGGGTGCTGGGACTAAAGTAGTGTGCCACCACTTTCAGCTTTCTTAAAATGAAGTGGGTTTTTTTTTTTTTTTTTTTTTTTTGAGACAAAGTTTCCCTGTAGCCCCAGCTGGCCTAGAACTCGCAATGTAGATCAGGCTGGCCTTGAACTCATAGAGATCTTCCTGCCTTTCCCTCCATGTGCTGGGACTAAAGGTGTGCACCACCACACACAGCCCAGCCTTCTTTCTTATATAACCCAGGACCACCTGCCCAGGGGTGGCATCACCTACAGTGGGCTGGGCCCTCTCACATCACTCAGTAGTCAAGAAAATTCCTCACAGACATGTCCACAGTTAATCCAATAGAGGAAATTACTTCTTTAATTGATGTTCCCTCTCCCCCAGTGTTTCACCTTGACAACTGAAACTGTCTGGCATATTGGCTTTTTATGTGGATCTGAGTTCATGCTCATGCGATAAGCACTTTAGTGACTGAGGCATTTCCCCAACCGTTTAATGGTTTCTTGAGCATTTTTGGCTTTTATTTCACATACATGTAAAAATTCAACAAAAATTATTTTGAGAGACTGATTTATTAACTTGTTCTCTCTTGTTTACAGTCCTATTTTTTTCACTTAGTTAGGTGTCACGAGGTTAAAAAGTGAGATTGAGTTAGTAAGATGGCTCAACATGTAACAGCATTCACTGTGTAAGCCTAGCAACCAGTTTGATCTCGGATCCCACGGTAAGAGAGAACCAACTCTTGAAAAGTTATCCTCTGGCCTCCATATGCACATCTTACTATTTTTTAAAAAAATTTATTTTTAATTATTTGTATGTATGTGTGTATGTGCATGTGAGTATGGGTGCCTTGGATCCCCTAGAGCTGGAGTTAGAAGTGGTTGTGAGCCACCTAGTATGGGTACTAAGAAGTGAACTCTGGTCCTAGGCAAGAACAGTGAGCACAGTTAATCACTGAGCTATCTCTTCAGTCCCATTTTAATAATTATGATTGTATATATTTGTAAGTCTACAGTGATGGACAGAAAGAATGAAGTTTAATAGTGGAATATGATTTCTGAGGGCTGAGAAGAGGTTTTGCATGTGGAGCTTGGGATCTTTCCTATTTCTGTCCTCCATGTACAAATTCATAGTATGGGAAATGTGGTACCAGGTACAAGGGTGACTTTCTAAGTGTCCTGCTTTTAAAGTTTGTGTTTTTTGTTTTTTTTTTTTGAGATAGGGTCTTCCTGTAACCCCACCTAGCCTTGAAATCACTATGTAGACTAGGCTGGCCTCAGTCTCACCTCCCTCTGCCTCCTGAGTGCTGGGACTAAAGGCGTATCCTACCATTCCTGGCTTCCAGGTGGGCTGCTTTTAGATCTGTTACCAGGAGTATTTTGAGAGGGCTTGGTGACAAAGTTTGGCTTGTTCACACCCAAGCTCAGGAGTGGCTACCTAAAATGAAGATTTGGATGTTTGGGTGATCTAGCTGCAACATCTAAAATGGAGACTTGTTAAAAACTAATGTAAAAAAGTACTAGTATGAGCAAGACTTGTCTGTGCTGAAGCCAGTCTGTTTCAAGCATTTTATGTTTGATAACTGATACAGTAACTGTTATCTTATTTTCCTCCGTAGGAAGGTGCTTTTGCACTTGTGTTTAAAAGTGTTCATTTTCCTGGGCAAGCAGTTGGCACAAGGTACAATAGATCTCTTCTAAGGACTAGTGATGACATGCATGCTGAAACATTCAAGTTACAGGATTATTCTCAGTAGCCCATAAATTGCCCTTTACTCCTTTCTTAGAAATACTGTGTGGCTATTGATTTTCATATATGCTCCTCTTTTACACCACTCTTCCATTTAATAGAATCTCTTTAATACATTTTGGCATTTGTGATTTAACCTTTGGGAAGCATTATGACTCTGTGAATTTGGATAATGATATAATATTCTTTAATTTCACACTCAAAGTATTTCTCCATATTTTCTGGAGACCTATGCAGACACATTCCCAGGATACGAAGTCATTAGGGCAGTAAAGAGCTTTACGATCTGTAACAGAAAGCTATCTTTAATCTGAGAACAGGATGCCCAAGTATATATTAAGAGTTCTGTGTACAGTTGAATGAAAAGGTGCACTTCACATTAAAAGGAGAACAATTTAAAACACAATGTCAGAATATGAGTTGGCAACTTTTTTCAGAGTGAATCAGACAGTTAATCCGTGTTGGCATGTGGCCTCTCTGCAGCATTAAACATTGCTGTCCAGCATGAAAGCAGCTGCAGAACAGATGACAAAGAAGGACCTCACTGTTTCAGTAAAACTTTAATACAATTATAATTTGCCAGTTATAAAACTGTTTATAGAAATAGGCAGTTGTGATGTATGGACATAGTTTTCTGACCCTAGTTATTTTGTACGTCTGAATTTCAATTAAGGAAGAATGAAACATTTGAAAAGTGACTTGAAATTTATATTTAAATTTTTAGTGTATTCATGAAAGTTTTCTCTTATTGCATTCACAGACGAGGTAGCCCCCTCTTGATTGGTGTGCGGAGTGAACATAAGCTTTCTACGGATCACATTCCGATCCTGTACAGAACAGGTAAAGTACCTCTTGCATTGGAGGCAAGATGTTTAAGTGCAGTGCAGTAGCTCTGAGAATTGTGTCCCTTAAGCTGAAATACATAAGTATACAAATATATAGTTCTATCTAGACATGAAAAGTTTGTTTTTGTGAATGGTATGACCAGAAGAACTTTTTTCTGTTGTACATCCTTAGCTAGGACTCAGAGCGGATCAAAATTCACATGGTGGGAATCACAGGTAGAAAGAGGTGGGAAAGAACTCTGCATGGGTAGAAGGAGTCTTACCTGCTTTCCTTCATTCTTTACTAATTCTTTGTTTTTGGAGTAAATGAGTATGCTGAGCCTCTAAAAACTGCTTATTTTATGAGGAAATGTTTTGACATTTATTTTTCTAATTTGCAGAAGATATTTTGTCTGTTTGCTTCTGGCATTTAAAAAATGCATTATCTAATAGCTTGTTTGTATTAAAACCTGAGGTTTGAGGAAGTAGTTCAAATTATAAAGTGGTCTTTTTCCCCCTGTTTTAAAATCGCATAGGACACATGCTTGGATTAGGAAAGGAACACTGAATTTGAGTAATGTAGTCTCACTTTCACCTGAAATACATTTAAATGATCTTTATTTAATGCATGACATTTTACATACAGATTTATATTTGATTGGTATTATTTGAATTTGGGGTCATATCTTATGCTCTATGTTTGAGGTTTGTTTATTTCTTTATATTGTTTATTGGTGCTGGATGTCAAACCCATAGCCTTAACACATGCTAAGCAAGTGTTCTACTGGCTTGTGCCCCTAGCCCCCAAGGTGATTTTTTTTTAGAGGGTCTGTGCTGAGACTGAGACAGAATCTGTCATGTAGCCCATGCTAGGCTCAAACTCATTGCGTAGCCAAGGCAGACTTTTAATTGCTAATTGTCCTGTCTCTACTTCTACATGCTGAGATTACAGACACGTGCTCCCGTACATGACCAGAATTAAATTTTTGATAATACAAACTCGAAACTTTGAGTTTGAGTGACCTGGAACTCGCTATGTAGACCAGGCTGGCCAAAAACTCACAGAGAACCACCTGCCTCTGCCTTCTGAATGCTGGGACTAAAGGCGTGTGCCACCATGCCTGGCTACAAACCCGAACTTTTTATTAAATTACATAGAAAAGTAAAACAGCAACGTTGCCTTTTCTGTTTGTTTACTTTCAAGAGCTTTCCATGTAAAAAGTAGGGGGAACGTAGGTTCAGGAAATTGAAACCCTAATTATTGTGTAATTCTTGAAATACATTTACTAAAGAACTCTGAACCTGTCTTTACGTAACTGCTTTAATGTTTTACCTGGAACAGAAATTTATTGCCATAACCTTCAGTCCTTGATATTCTTTTTCCTGTTATATCCCCCTCCCCATCAGTTTCTAGAAGGAAGACTAGTTGACAATGAGAACACAGAATCTCAATCCACAGTTCCAGATTCCCGTAATAATATTGCTTGTGTTGTCGTTATAGTGCTACCTTGTAGGCTGTCTTAGATGGCTTTTAGAAATAATAGAAAAACATTGAATGAAATCTTCTGAAGTTGGAAGAAATATTTATTCTGGGAGATGGCATTTGATACCTGTGTTTCTCTAGCTCCTAGTAAGCAGATGGTGTAGGGCTTAGTGCTGTGGTGAGAATCTCTTCTCATGTTAGGGAGCTGTGGAAAGATAACTCTGGGCTGACTCTTAGGCTTTTGCCGTTATCTCCAAGTTAAAGCCTCCTCTTCCCACTTCCAGAATAGGGTGATATTGTATTCCATTTCATTCGAATTAAGGAAATCTACATATGGGAAAGAATTTTTTAGATTGTAAGAACTGTGTAGATATGTATAGGCCGCAATGCCTCAATTTCATTTTAATTATTTTAATCAGATAAAATTTTAGTTGAAGAATTAAATTACAAATAATTAGAGTGATACTCAACCTTCTTAGGACATTTTAGAAACAGCTAGTTGTGCCAGGCATGGTGGCACACACCTTTAATCCCAGCACTCAGGAGGCAGAGGCAGGCAGATCTCTTTGAGTTCAAGGCCAGTCTGGTCTATGTGGTGAGTTACAGGACAGCTGGAGCTATAGGGAAACCCTGTCTCAAAAAGACAAAGAAAGAAAAAATAAACAGCTAGTTGTATTTTTGCTTTTAAAAAATTTTTATTTATAGCCAGGCATGGTCGTGCACACCTTTAATCCCAGCACTCGGGAGGCAGAGGCAGGAGAATTCTGTGAGTTCAAGGCCAGCTGGAGCTTCAGGGAGACCCTGTTTCAAACAGACCAAAAAAAAAAAATATTTATGGGCTGGAGAGATGGCTCAGCAGTTAAGAGCACTGACTGCTTTTGCAGAGGACGCAGGTTTGATTCCCAGCACCCACATGGTGGCTAACAACTGTCTACCAATTTCAGGGGATCTGACACCCTCTTCTGACTTCCACAGGTCTTGCATGACACAATATACTCATACACATAAAATAAAAAATAAATAAGTAAATTAAAAATTTTTTTATTTCATGTGTATGAGTATATTGCTTGCATGTAGGTAGGTGCATGCATGTCATGCAATGCCCGTGGAGGTCAGAAGAGGGCATCAGATCCCCTGGAATTGGGAGTTACAGACAGTTGTTAGCTGCCATGTGAGTGCTGCAAATCGAACCTTGGGTCCTCTGCATGAGCAGCCAGTGCTCTTAACTGCTGAGCTATCTCTCCAGCCCATGTTTATTTTTCAAGTATGATGCTGAGCTCTCCTACTTGGTTTTCAATTTGGATTTGTGTATGTGTGTGTGTGTGTGTGTGTGTGTATTTTTAGACAGAATCTCACTGTATCTTGAGAGCTGAAGCCAACCTAGAACTCACTATGTAGCCCAGGCTGGCCTCTGACTCTTGACTTTGCTGCCTCTGCTTCCGGAATACTGGTATTAGAGGCAAGCACCATTATATCTACTTCTCTTTTTTTTTTTTTTTGGTTTTTTTGAGACAGGGTCTCCCTGTAGCCCCAGCTGTCCTGGAACTCACTATGTAGACCAGGCTGGCCTTGAACTCACAGAGATCCGCCTGCCTCTGCCTCCCGCGTGCTGGGATTAAAGGCGTGCGCCACCACGCCCGGCCTACTTCTCTTTTTTTAGAAACAATTAAAATATTTTTATTCATTCAAGAATGTCATGCACTGTATTTTGATCATGTTCAGACCTCCCTCTTTCCCTCCTCCCTCTTCTCCTTACTACCCTCCCCTTCATGTTATCTATCCTTATTTGTCCTTTTCTTTTAAGGTCTATGAAGTCTAATCTGTGTTTCTTAAATGCTCTTGGGTTGTGGGTCTATCTCTTGGAGTCTGGTCAACCTATCAGGCATCACAACAGTAAGGAAAGCTGACTGTCCTTTTCTCAGCATCCATCAATTATCAATAGAGCCTCAGCTAGGGCTGGGGCTTTTTGCCTACCTCCTCCATCCATGCTTGGCCCCTGACTGGCTTGGATTTACACAGGTCTTGTGCATGCTAAGTTTACTTCGTGTGTGTGTGTGTGTGTGTGTGTGTGTGTGTGTGTGTGTGTATGTATGTATGTGTAGACTTTCATATGTGAGTATTGTATTTGTATTATTTCTACCCCTCCCTCCTGACCTGCTAGGACTCTAGGCATTCTCCACCACTCTTGGCCCTAACTTAGAGAATTGAATTTTTTTCTACATTGGTCTAATTCATCAAACTAGCATACGTCCTCTTTTTTATTTTAGTTGTGAATGAGCAAAAAGAAAAAAAATTTATCATTGAGACAGAAAAAAAAGAGACTGAAAATAGAATACTAAGATAAGAGAGATTCTTGACCTATAGTATTTCTGTAACTAGTAGTAGGTGCCATATTGAGTGTATTGTGGTTAGAGTGACATAATAGCTTTGCTTTGATTTTAGTATTTGATTTAATGATTTACTCTATTCACTTACTGTTAAAGTTCAAAGAAGTTTTGTTGTAAAAATTAACTTGTCACTAGTCTGTCATTTTATTTTCCATTACACAGTCTTGATTTTATTTTTTAGGGTTTTTGTTATTTTGTTTCTTGTTTTTAGAGATAGAGTCTATGTAACTCAGGCTTTGATCATTGTAGATAGCTGTAGATGATCATGAATTACTGATCCCCCTGCCTCTATCACCCAAGTGCTGGAATTACAGGTTTGTACCACTATGCCCAGGTCAGTTTTAGTGTTTTTAATATAATTTTTATGATAAGGATAGATACACAAACTTAAAAGTTTGGTATAATATTAAGATCAGTCTATATATGCTTTTGATTTTTTAAAAGATAAGGGCTAGAGAGATGACTGAGTAGCTAAGAGCACTGACTGCTCTTATAGAGGACCTGGGTTCAGTTCCCAGCATCCACATGGCAACTGACAACTGACAACTGTCCGTAATTCCAGTTTCAAGGGATCCAATGCCCTCTCTGACCTCCATGGGCCTTGCATGATATGTTTGTACTTGCATGCAGGCAATACAGTCATACACATAAAATAAAATAAAAATAAAATATAAAAAAATTTAAAAGGTAGTATTAATTACCAGATTTTTACCTGGAAAAGAAATATTATATCACAGTGTTCAGAATGCAGAACTGTTCCCTGCCATCTAGTCTTTGTAGTTGCAGTTTTACTCTGCATTTTCTGTCTGTTCGTTTTCGCTTATTGCATGGAAATACAGTGAGCTATTTGATATTTGAGAATTGCTGAAATTATTTTGTGTTCTGGTTTTTTTGTTGTTGTTGATTTTTATAAAGTTATGCATATTTCTAAATTGACCATGATTCTCTGTGCTTGCTGATTCATGTTACCTCTGTGCTCTAGGCAAAGATAAGAAAGGAAGTTGCAGTCTCTCCCGTGTTGACAGCACGACATGCCTTTTCCCTGTTGAGGAGAAAGCAGTCGAATATTACTTTGCTTCTGATGCAAGGTGAGCTTCCTTGAGTAAGTCAAGGAGAATTTTTAGGAAAAATCCTGAAACCATGAAGACATTTTATATAAGTCTAAGACCTCTCTCTCTCTCTCTCTCTCTCTCTCTCTCTCTCTCTCTCTCTCTCTCTCGGTGATGGGGGATTGGAGCTATGGCTCTATGTGCTACACAAGCACTCTGCTACTAAAGCCCTAGCTCTTAAAACTCTTTTACTTACAGAAGTAGAGGTCACCTTCTTAGAGATGGAGCTGTAAGAATACTTTTTCTCCCACTAAGTTTACTAAGGGCACAGACATTCCTAGAGACAGGTTTCAGTGTTTATTTGGGAGTACTTGTTTTGGATTTTGTTTTGTTTTCTTTTCTTTTTTCTTTCTTGAGGCTTACCCAAGTTTTTTCTAGGGGCAGAGATTGTAGTTCCAATAATTTCCTTATAGTTCCCTGAGCCACATTAGTTTGAGTCTAATATGGACATTTAGCTTTTACACTTAGAGTGGACTTACAGCATAATTTCTTCTATACAGGAAAACTGTCACATTTTGAAAGAAAATGTAGTGGAATTTTAGCGGTATTGATAAATAAAGTGCTGTAGGAGTGAGGATAAAGTGGAATCACATTGCCAGTAGGTATTTGATTCATTCACTGTGACTGAAAATAAGAGGAAATAAAAATGAGGAAGTGATACCACTTAGTATCGCAGGGAACGCATTATCAATTGAAAAACAAACTTTTTTCTAGTTTCTGCAGATATGTCATTGCTGTCATTAAGTGGATTTGCTGCAGAGCGTTCACAGCTATGGCTTAAATAAACTAGAAATTGCAGAAGCATATTAGCCTTTGATTCGTTTTTGTATTCTTATTGAGTGCTCTGAGTAAAGCCATATGATAGCCTCAGGATGGTAAGATAAAAGTATTATTACTTGCCTTTAAGGAGTTCTGTCATTTTTGGAGGACACAACTTTTAAAAAATGATAGCACAAGTGTGAAGTTCCCACTGTAACAAGAGCTGCACAGTGTTTACAACAGGATCAGTTAGCCTCTTGATAGGTGGGTCTCTTTAAGAGAATGAAGCTTGAACTGAGCTAAGGGGAGATCAGGAGCTAAGTAGATGAAAAGGTGGAGGGAAGAACATTCATTCTGTGCAGGTGGCTCACCTGTGAATGTCTGGCAGGGCCATAAGTGGCTAGAACAGAGTGAGAGAATGCTTCATCAAAGCAGTCTGAAGTCTTCATGAGAACCAGAGAGAGACTGAAAAGTGGTTTGTTGGGTGAGGGAAAAATCTTGATTATTGTTGCATTTTGATATTGCTGTGGCAGGAAAGGAGAATGGGTGAAAACAAACAAAAAAGAGAAAAGTAAAGGGTGGAGATGGATGAAGAAGTAAGAGATGGTTATGGGTCCTTAGGAGGATGCTGCAGTAGCCTGGTGGTAGCTTGTACTGGTCAGTGCCAGTGATCATGAAAGAAACTTTGAGAAACATTTAGGGATTAGAGCGACAGGCTTTGGTGAGGGATGGATGGAGGTGGAAACAGCCGTGCCATCAGATCTTGTTTTGGATAGGTTGCTGTGCAGAGGTCCTTTACTTTTTGCCCATAGTGGCTACATTTTCAATACTGCCCTGTAGGGAGGGATGGTATTGATACCCCCACAGTTAACAGAGGTGGTGCAAGATAGGAACTGGTGTTTGAATTTGGTCTTTGTGTTCTAATGATAGTTTTGTGACAGTGATCCTTGGTTATTGATGGTAACATCTCTTTGAACATTTTGTAGTGCTGTCATAGAACACACCAATCGTGTCATCTTTCTAGAAGATGATGATGTTGCAGCGGTGGTGGATGGTCGCCTCTCTATCCATCGAATTAAACGGACTGCAGGAGATCATCCTGGCCGAGCTGTGCAAACCCTCCAGATGGAACTCCAGCAGATCATGAAGGGTGAGCATCTTATGATGTTATGACTTGGGATCCTGAAGAAAGGATAATGGCTCAGTGGTTAACAGAACTGCTACACTTGGAGAGGACCTGGATTCTGTTTCTAGCTTCCACATGGCAGCTAACAGCTGTCTATAACTCAAGTTCCAGGGGGATCTGATGCCCTCTTCTAGCCTCTGTGGGCATTGTATGGCATGGGTGCACTTACATAGTATGTAGACAATACACTCATTCACATAAAATAAAAATAAATATTTTTTTTTTAAAAAAAGGAAGCATTCTACTTTGGTTCTGCTGAGGAAGCTGGTAAAAGCTTCCATATGATTAATGGAGGGACAACCTAGGAAAAGGGATGACTCTGGAGAAATTATCTGTCTTAGAAGAGTTCTTCAAACTAATTCATGGTCTATTGTTAACATTATAAAAAAAGAGATAATACCAGATGTTTTTAATTTTATTTAATCTCATTTTTTGTTGTTTTTTAAAAATATTTTTTTATTTTATGTATATGAGTATATTGCCTGCATGTAGGTAAGTGTACCTGTATCGTGCAGTGCCCTCGGAGGACAGAAGAGGCTGTCAGATCCCTTGGAACCAGAGTTACAGACAGTTGTTAGCTGCCATGTGGGTGCTGGGATTTGAACCTGGGCCTTCTGTAAGAACAGTGTTCTTAACCGCTGAGCCATCTCTCCAGCCCCTTAATTTCATTTTTTGAAATAGGGTCTCCTTGTGACTCCAGCTGGCCTGGAACTTGCTTTGTAGACCAAACTGACTTTGATTTCACAGGGATCCTCCTGCCTCTGCCTCCTGAGTGCTGGGACTAAAGGTGTGCACCACCACACCCAGCTTGTACCCAATGTTTTTAAGATTCTTTGTAAGAGTAAATAGAGCTTATATTCTGTTCAGTACTCTCTCTCTCTCTCTCTCTCTCTCTCTCTCTCTCTCTTTTTTCCCCTGTGCTCTAGTTTTCTTGTTAGAATGAGGATAATATAATCTACCTCATTAAGATTTTTGTTGAGGATCTGGCATTAGTGTGCCCTCATCTCTCTCTCTCTCTCTTTTTTCCCCTGTGCTCTAGTTTTCTTGTTAGAATGAGGATAATATAATCTACCTCATTAAGATTTTTGTTGAGGGGCTGTG